GTGAATTTGGATGTGTTAATCTAATTTTGTCACTAGTTAAAACATTTCCTCTTTAAGAATAAAATAAATTAATATGAGGCATGTTAATCCATAATTATATTCTAAATGTGAAAGCGTATTTGTTTGTTTGTTACGCTTTCACGCCTTAACCACTAAACCGATTTTATTCTTTCACATATGGAAAGTTACATTATCAGTGAGTAACATAAGCTTTTAACCGCTATAACTGATTTTCCAGCTTTCCAGCTAAATTAACTAATGGAACATAAATGTAAAACAGTTAATAGAAGAGCGGTGCTCAATGAATTTTGTAAGTCTCTGGTAAAGATCTGTAAGTCTCTTTGTCACACAGTTTGGGCAGTTACTTATGGCAGATTCTTTTGTTCAAGTGATTGTTAATGCGATTTTATATCTATCTGTATTGAGACTGTATTGCGACTGTATTGCGTGTGTGTATAATCAAGGGCCCGTGTGAATTAATAATAGCAGTTCCCAGATCTTTCCTATTATAGGCGTGGCACACCGTGTGATTTTAGTCGGTCCGATTCCCACACACCACCCCGCCGCACACACATGTATAAAAAAAGGGGAAGAATCAAGACCTGAAAATAAATCAACATGAAATAAATTCTAGTCTCTATAATCTATGTGAGTCTCTATAATTTTGAATTAGTTAGGATAAGGTAATTTTACACACTACTATGTCAATTATTCACGTTTTTCATAATTGCTATAGGTTACGAAATCTTACAATTTACTATTTAAAGAATAGCGACCTGCAAATATAAGTATATGTAGCTATAAATACCTGGCATATGTTTTGCAATTGAGTAGATTACTTTTACAAATTTATCATTTGTATTACGCAATTCCACAATGAGAAGTAAATGATATGTACGATAGAACAATAATGGCTTAACATTAAGTCTTAAAATACTTACAAAATTGAAAAGCGTGTGTTTTATTTTCATAAAACTGTGGGAACTTAATATCCTTACTTGAAGTAGTACTTAAGGTTCATTATAAATTACAAAAGAAATTTCGTGATTCCTTCGCAAAATTCCTTCCATTAAGAAGTTATGTTCAAACAGAAACGTAACGTTATTTCATGTAACTGATTCAATATTATGCTAACAACGTCATGGAAATATATTATAAGTTGAGCATTTCGTCTTACTTTGTTCAAATCTAATTTAGTCTATGAATATTTGTTATTTTTTTACTAAACAGATGAGGTGCAATTCAAAATTATCAAAAAGATGTATATATTTTTTTTCTAAAAACATTAGGACATATGGTACAAAGTTTGGGGGCTCTGAAAGTTCCTAAAAGAAAGTAATTAGATACTAGTTGTCCGTGTTGTGACGGATTACAAATACGTAGTGTCACCACCCCAATTTATTCCGTAGGTGTCGTAAAAGCCGACTAAGGGAGCAAACTTTGCAGGGCAACAGCACTACGAAGAGAAGGAAAACTTGAAACAATCCCGTATGACCAGCGGTATAGTAGGCCTAAACTTCCTTTCTAAGGAGAGGCCTATGTCCAGCAGTGTTTTTTTTTTTTTTTTTTTTTTTAAAAGACAACTCCCGCATTAGGAATAAATCCTGTGTCGCGGGGGACTTTACAAACATACATGAAACGGACACAAAGAACACCCAGACTCAGAACAACAATTTATGGATCACACAAAGTGTCGTCCCATGTGGGGTTTGAACCCACAACACTCGGCGTAGTAGGAAGCGGCGTGGCGACCGCTTAAACCACTACGCCATCGGTGCAGTCAAACTGCTGCAAGTGTACTATTAAACGATGATGATGATCCTAAATGGACCCGCACAAGTTCGTCTAGGTCTCTTAAAAGCAGTAGTTTTTCCCCGTTTTGCAATATTTTTCATTGATATTCGGCTCTTAATGGTCGAAGCTTGATGTTATATTGACTATAGTCTTCCTTGGCAAATGGGCTATTCAACACTAAAAGAATTTTCGGATTCGAAAAAGCAATTCCTGATATTAGTGAATTCAAACAACTTTATGATATTAGTATAGACACACAGAATTAAACCCAAAAGACTTTACTAACAAGAAGTAAAGAGTACCACATAATCCTAATTATGATAAGAATAAAGAAAGTAAGATACTTAATGAGTTAACTATTAATTATTATAATAATTTCAAAGCACCTGAATTTAGTAGCGCCACAGCTTACTATACTTAAACTAAAAAACTGTAGTTATTTATTCGACGATAACAAATCCAAACTGTGAATGAAAGGGTTTGCTCTGTGGGAAGCGGCACCGTAAAGAGACTTGTGAGGCCGATGAACAATGGAGTGCAAAATAAAACAGAGAATAACTTAATGGGGAGTGACCTCTAAATACTGGTGTCACATTGTTGTGGTGTACAAATGTACTGATAAAAACTAAGTACCGCTTAATATATAATTGAAGAGAAAAAATCAAAGAAATTTGTGTTTTATTGATTTATGTTTTATATAAGGTTGGCATCAGAAAGTTCTAGGATATTTATGTTCTTTCAAGTACCCATCATCCTAATCTAACTAACGCGATCCAGTTTAAGCAGGTACTTATACTTACTATTAATCTCTATATAAAAGTTCATTCATCCAATCCGCGTAGGTGCCAAAGGAAACAAATAATGTCATTCGATTTTGTGAAGTTTGAGAAATATTAAAGTGACCCTTTTCTTAACAAGATATTTATGAAGGTAAAATCTAATGGACCTGAAACTAGTGCAAAATATTTATAGTGTAACGGTTGTACATTAATTTTCTGTAATAAATATATAAACAGTTTCACTAAAAAGATCTCAAATTTCAAATAAAAATGAACCTTTCCACTATTATTGGGCTTTTTTTTGTTGACGGGATGGAAAATCCCTTCGGATCACCTGTTCCTCGGGGACTGAGTAGCCAGAAGTATGTGGTGATTCCACTAAAAAATACCCCGACGGCCAGCCTCAGGTGTCCTACTGTGGGAGGACCCCTGAGAAGACCTTTCATTATGTCTCTTTCATTAACGTATTATAAATGTGCGTTAATAGTTATAACAGGAGCATTTCATTGTAACATACTTATCCAAATCAAACGTGTAATAATGTACTGAGTAAAAAACAATTATGTAATTTTAAATAAAGACTCCCTTTTTTTAAGTGATTTATGCTATTAAATGCCTTAACATTTATGATCTTTAACGTTATTCGTCTCAGCTCCATTTTGTACGAAACATTTACGATACGTTACTTAAAAACAAGCTATTATGATTAATCATACAGCTCACAATACACGTTCATCGATGCCCGTTTTGATAACTTAAAATTTTAAAATCTTCGCTCGTTGAGACTGCAGCCGACACAGTAACTTGTTAATTTTAAAAGTTTTATTTAGCTTTTAGGAGAATAGTGTTAGAACTCCGTACGTGCGTACGAAATTTATTGCACTTTAGATCTATAAGTGTGCAACTGTACATTTTGATCGTTACTGACGTGATTATAATTATCTGAATGTTTTCCTGTTAGCTTTAATTTCTTGATCTAATTCCAAACTGTATAGCCCTTGTTAAAGTCGAATCGGCAAACGATTTGCGTCTCTCAATCTCATTGGTTTAACCCAAAATAGCTCAAATGCCAACTATCATTCGCTGAGTAAATTTAACCTCGCAAAGGCTCGTTAGTGTAATGGCAAGAGTGAGTTGGCAAAATATTTACAGTAATCCTCCGAGTCTCGTTTCAAGCAAATGTTTTTAGTCGAAACATGGAACAACACGATCTACACAAAATATCGTGTTTCAATTTGTACAGAGAAAAAACATAATGTACGAGTTTACTGTTTTAAAACATTACAATCAACATTCAACACTAAAATTTGAATACGGTAATGGGTTTTGGCCACTATTTTTTTTAGAATGGTGGGTAATTCCTGCGTATTTGAGTTGTTATGTTTTCCAAATATATATATGTTTCATGATGATGATGATAAGGAAATCTTTCTCTGGTATATAATATTCAACAATCCCTATGAATACTGTTTTTTATGTTACAGGGGGCAAAACAAGCAGACTGATTCATATCATATATCATATCAACAGCCTTTACAGCTTATGTCCAGCAGTGGACATAGTCTATGAGCCTCTCCTTAGAACGAAGGTTATGGCCTACTATACCACGCTGGCCGGACGGGTTGATATAGGGTTTGTGTCAAGTTTTCCTTCTCTGTGCAGTGCTGTTGTTCTGCGTAGTTTTCTCCTTTAGTCAGCTCTTACGACACCCACGGGATAAATAGGGGTGGTGACACTTTGTATTCTTAATCCGTCACCACACGGACGTACATCACACTTACATACCATCAGCTAAGCAGCAGCAGACTGATTCGCTGATAGTATGTAAGTTACCATTGCCACTACGAACCCTTGCAGCTAAAGTGTCACAAGTGTTTGGCTGGCTTTGAGATTGGAATACGCTCTGTACCTATCATCTATAACAGAGTAGATCCTTAATCCAGGTTTCTAGCGCTTTTTGAAAGCATGTTTACAGTTCTATGTTGAACTTATCTGTAGTCGATCAAGCAAATTAATTTACATAGATCTAATCCTGTTACAATAAAATAGGATTCCAACGATTGTTATACATTCTCGAGTCCAGTAAAACATTTTTTTTGTAGCATTAGTCCTAAAATTTTTACGTGATAATTGGATTTATTTACACCATATCGAATCAAATGCTTGTAAAATGATCTGTAATTCTTTTTTTTAATTTTCTAGTAATAAAGTACATACATAAGTACAAACTTTGCTGAGTTAGAAACTAAGATAGGGTTGTGAGTCAGATGTCTAAAATATATAAAAAAAAAATTATACATTGCTAGTATTCTTAAAAAACAGCTATTTTAAGTTAGGGTATTTTGGCAGAATATTTTCTTAGAAAAAAAATACTTTATTTATATGCTTTTTATTGACCACACAATTAAAGAAGGTATTAATTAAGCGCTAGTGCATTCTCCAGAATTCGGTTAAATTCAGTTTATGCAATAAGTTGTAGGGTTCTTCGACTTTAGGCGTATTAATGCAAGTGAAGTATTCAAGCGTACACTGACGGATACATTCAGGATCAAGGTTTTTACATTTTACCATAAAACACTGAATCCTCATCTGGGTGCACCTGTTTTGATGTGGGTCATCTATGCTTATGCTAGGTAGTGACGCACTCTGTACCAAAGGTCTTTGTAGTGGAGATCTCTGCCTCAAAATTTTTTTGGGAAACGGCTGATTTTGGAGTACAATGTTTTTTAAAGACAAGTTAGATTGATCCGTGAACTTGTTCTTTAGAACATTGAGGAGCGAATTTATGTAATTATTAATGTTATTATCTTTAACCTGAAAAAAATAAAAGTTTGTTTAGTGATTAAAATAATGAATTAATCATACATAAGTTTGTTTTCAACATTTTCTAGCTTAGCTTAGCTACTTTTTCAACACTATATTGTTGTCGTTGTTCCTTCGAATCTTTTTTCCCAAGCTAGGTTGCGGTCGGCTTTAAGTCTACTAATATACAGCTGAATTTCGATTTTTTACGCGCAGCAACTGCCATTAGACCTCTAAAACCCAATTACTAGGCGATTTTGGAACGAAGTTCCTTATCGCGCGTTGTGAAAGGGGGCTAGAAGGAAAAAAATCTCACTTAAAGTCGTAACGACACTTTTTATGTCAGTCATTCAGCGCCATCTATCGAATAGATAGGAAATCATTTCTCAAGGAGATTTTACACATGTATAAATTGTTTTAATTAGAAACCACCTGAAAAATATGTAGGTAATAGCCGCTTTCATAGATGGCGTTGTAATTAAAATCGTGTCGAATCAGTTTTACTAGATAGTCACAACTTCGTTCCTATCGGGTGTCCCACGACACCACACGGCTTTTCGAAGTTCTGTAGAAAGACTGTTGTGTCACTTTTTAGGGATCCGACTACCCGTAACGAAAGCCACAGATATTAGTGTGTCAAAGTTCATCCGTATCGTAGTAAACTTAAAGCCGACCCCAACCTAGTTTCGTAAAAGGGCTCGGAGGAAAAAAAGCGGCAAGCGACATACGAGAAGATGGATCATCTGATACCATCATGATTCTGGAGGAGCACTTAAAGGGGGATGACTCTCTTAAGTTTCAGGTGTTTCTGGACAGCAATAAATACTTACCATCAGTTTACCTGTATACTTGTTTACAAAAAACCATTGAAGAAATTCAATTGCTTTTCCGTCAGACGTTTTAGGAACGAAAGTAATGTCTGGGATAAAATTGTCCAAGTTATTTATTAATAATAGTAATTGTGAGTTAACGCTTACAATTAAAACGATAGCTGTCTTATCTGACGACGAGGCAGTCTCTGGACTATCCTGGTCAGAGTTAACACTTTTAATCTCCAAAGAGTTTTTGACCTTGTTGAGATGAACCTGGAATATAAAATAATTGTTCGAACAATCGATGTTAAATAGTTATACTACATAATAACATAGTAATAATTATTTGACACATCTCGAACACAGCTGTTTGTTCTCAAACAAGACATAGCCTTATGATAACCAGACGGTCAATCCTCGTAATAATCATTCGTTTAAATTTCAACTTCGATCTACTCTTGATCTCAGAAATAATATAAAGGCTGTTCTCAAAGTTTTCTTTCTTCTTGGAGTAATTTATCTATAATGTGTATGTATTTAAAAATATATAAGTATGTTTATCAGCAGTCTTGTAACATAGGTCAGGCTCAACCTAGTTTGGGATCAGACGGCCGTGTGTGAGATATTTTATTATTATTATTATTATGACGACTCTTGAGAGTATACTCGATTTTAGACACAGTCTTCCGCTTCCTGCTACACTACTTCCTAAAATACTATGGGTTCGATCCCTAATTGTGTGATCCACAAATTGTTGTCTATGTCTGGGTGTTTTTTGTATTCGTTTCGAGAATGTGTGTGAAGCCACCCGCGATACAGGATATATTACTAGTGCGGGAGTTGTCATTTCTGTTTTTTAAAAGAAGACAGGCAGCTTTGACTGAGGAGAATGAAATGGACGACTGAGGTTGCAGTAGCTGGAAGACACTAGGGTCCTATATATCAGTCCTGTACTTAGAGAAGCCATTATAATAGGGACCTTAACTGCTCTCTCTTTATTATTGTGTATTTTTATCCGACGGTGCCAAAGGAGAGTTATAGTTTTCGAGAGTATGTGTATATGTATGTAAATTTCTGAGACACGCTCTGTGGTCTTAACAGTTTGATGAGTTTTGACTAGGGAGCTTTCGTTAGATTTATTTTAGTTCTATGTAACTAAAATCGAAAATCGAAAAAAGTCGATTTATTTTACTTGATCAACGGATTTTAATACGGTTGTTACCAATAGAGAGAGTGATTGAAGAGGAAGGTTTATTTGTCTATTACATGCATATTACTTATAAATCTCTCTATCTTATCTTTCTATCTCTTTTTATCTTATAAATCATTAAAATGAAGATTTTAGAATATATTAGAGGTTTAAAATGCGGGGGCCAAGCGGTCGTCGCCGCTTCGGGCTGTACGTCCGTCTGCCACGTCAGGATCGGAACGGGTTTATAAATATTGTATAATATAAAGATGTCCTATGGTATAGTCCTACCATAATAATAGTACAAATAATTAATACACATTGACATTTAACACACACATTAGTAGTATCTACATTGCACCCGTGCCAAGCTGGGCGGATCGCTAATAATTGTAAAAATGACACTGGGTATATGAAAATTATAAAAATTAAAATCTCCGTTTTGTAAATTTTAAGTACCTATACATATACATGCAGTCGGCTTTTTTGCTTATTTTTTCAATACCTAATTAACTTGTTTACTTACTAACATTAAGCTTCATGTTATACAACGATTACTTTAGAATTATAAGAGTAAAATAAACTTACAGATTCGATATATAATAATATTAAAACAACAATGTGCAGCTTCATTCTGGAACGCCTAATACTTAGAAGTTACTTGGCTTAAATCGTAAAGCCGGCATATAATTTTGGATTAATACAAAACATGTTTTATTAATTACGGTCGCGATTTCAAGGATTGTTTCAATCATTAATGTTGAGATTAATTAAAAACGGCAAAAGTAAATTTAACACAGCGTAGTTTTATTTAAGAGATTCCAGAGAGTACAAACCAAAACCATAGACTTACTAGAGAAGTACTTTCATGTTAGTGTTGTATTCATAGATGACCGGTAAAGTAGAATTTTATTATTACAACACTCTCACCAAATTTTAACTTTACATACATCTTATATGAGAAAAATATAGAGACCAACAGACAACCTGTAGCTAAGAATAGCAATTAATAACAAAAAAAAATCTACTTGAGAGATGCTTGCTTAACACCAATTTTATTTCTAAGATATTGAAATTGTTCCTTAGGTAAAGCTTTAGTAAATATGTCTGCATATTGCTCTTTGGTATTCACATATTTGAGATCTATTTGTTTCTCTGAATATTTTTCTTTAATAAAATTATACCTTATATCTATATGCTTACATCGTTTGTGATAATCTACATTCTTAATTAAACAAATTGCACTTTGATTGTCAATATTTAGACAGATAGAGTTCTGATTGAATTCGTTTATGTCCATTAACAATCCCTTTAACCATATAGCTTCTTTAGTTGCAGAACAAGCAGCAATGAACTCTGCTTCCGTTGTAGACAAGGCTACACTTTGTTGGCGTTGTGTTGCCCATGTTACTGCAGCTCCATTTTTCATAAATACATAGCCAGTTAAAGACCTGCGTGTGCTCGTGTCTTTGGCATAGTCTGCGTCACTATAACCTTCTAGGTTAGACTTTGAAGGTGTGTAGCATAAACCATAGTCCTTTGTTCCTTTCAGATATCTTAATATTTTCTTGACAACATTCCAATGGGTCTGATCGTAACAGTTCAAATATCTACTCACCAGACTGACTCCATACATGATATCTGGACGGCTTACCACAGCCAGGTGCATGAGTGAGCCCACAGCCTCTCTGTAGGGAATAGTTTTGTCAGGGGCTTCAGTTGCTTTCTCCAGAGTAGTGTGAGGATCAACTGGAACATTGTTACAGTTTGCATTTTGCATATTAAATCTACATAATAACCGTTCAATATATTTTGATTGGTGAATAAACATACACTTTTCAAATCTTTCTATTTGTAATCCTACAAAGTTCTTTGGATCACACTGTTTGATTTCAAAATTATCCTTTAAGTCACTCAACACTTTGTTTAGTGAGTCTTCTGAATTAGATATAAGAAGCCCATCGTCAACATACAACAACAAGTAAATTTTATTTTTGTTTACATTTCCAATATAGACACATTTATCGCTATGACTATTAGTAAACCCAAATTTCTTTAGTAAATGATCAAATTTCTGGTTCCAGCACCTTGGTGCTTGCTTCAAACCATAGAGTGAACGATTAAGTTTACATACCAAATTTGATTGGACCTCCAAACCTTCTGGTGGCTTCATGTAAATAACTTCCTTTACATCTCCATATAAGAATGCAGTTTTTACATCAAATTGGATAATTTTTAACTCATTTTGGACAGCTTCTGACAGTACAACTCTTATTGAATCATATCTCACCGTAGGAGAGTAAACTTCAGTGTAATCAATGCCTTGTTTTTGTCCACATCCTTTAGCACACAGTCTTGATTTAAAGATTGGACCAGATGGATTGTCTTTTATTCTAAATACCCATTTACAATCAATTAATCGCACTCCTTCCGGTTTTTCAATAAGGTTCCAAGTATTATTTTCTTCATGTGCTTTTAACTCATCTTGAATTGACTGTTTCCAATGTTTAGCATTCACATTGTGTGAGGATATTGCTGCTGTGTAACTTTCTGGAACATCATCCTGTTCTGAAACTTCATTAACACATGAATATGTTTTAGCATCCATGTTACACGTTCTTTGTTTAGATCTTGTTGTTACATTTCGTGTAAGTTCTGTTGGATCAATTGTTTGGTCTGGTTCATAAATTGATCCTTCATCTGACTTAAAAGATTCATCACTGGTTTCAGACTGCAATTCACTATCTTCAGATGTATTTTCTAATTGAGTCTCATTGGTAGAACTATCATCATTGGTCTTGGGTTCTGAGACTGACTCTGATAATGGCAGTAATGCATAGTTCCTTTGAACTGAACTTTCAATGAAGATGACATCTCTGCTAATTAACACTTTCTTTGTCTTTGGATCTAAAAACCTATATCCCTTCGTCTGTTCATTATAGCCAATAAAAATCATCTTGTTTGCCTTTGAGTCCCACTTTTTCGATTTTTCTTTTGGCACATGCACCATGGCTTCACAACCAAATACTTTCAAATTAGTGATGTCCGGCCTTCTACCACTCCACTTCTCTTCAGGTGTTGAAAATTCTATCACTCGTGTTGGACATCTATTTGTGATATAGGCAGCAGTCGAAATTGCTTCTGCCCAATACTGTTTTTGTAGTTGAGCATTCAGTAGCATGCATCTTGCTCGTTCTAAAAGAGTTCTATTCATACGCTCTGCTAGACCGTTTTGTTTTGGAGTGTAGGGAGTAGTAGTTTGATGTGAAATTCCAGACTTCTTGAGAAAATTGCGAAATTCATTGCTCAAGTATTCATTGCCATTATCTGTACGGAGAGTCTTTATTTTTAAATCCAGTTGGTTCTCCACCAATGCTTTAAATTCTTTGAATTTTTCAAACACATCAGATTTCTTATTTAATATGTATACAAATACCTTCCTGGTATAATCATCAATGAAGGTGACATAGTAGCGAGCTCCTCCAAGGGATGGTACCTCCATAGGCCCACAAATATCAGAGTGAATGACCTCTAGCTTTGCTTGTGCTCGAGATCCTTGAGAAGGAAAAGGTTTTCTTGATTGTTTCCCTTCTTGACATGAAATACATAAGACCTTTTCTTTATTTTCTAACTTAATTCCTGCAGATTCTGTTAGTTTACTCAAATCTTCAAAATTTAAATGAGCCATTCTTTGATGCCACAGGTAACAGTCATTGTCTTTTGATGCAGATATGTATGCTGGAGTACTGTGAGTATTAAGCCGGTACATATTATTCATCATCTTTGCAGTAGCCACTTGTTCTTTATTTCTGTTTAATATCTTGCAACCTTTCTCATTAAACTGTATATGACATCCATTTTTAATCATCTGAGTAACCGAGAGAAGATTAGTGGCCAGACCAGGAACATAAAGAACATTCTGCACTTGGATTGTATTTATCTTCCCATTGCTATCAGCAACGTTTAAATTTATATTTCCGCAAGCTTCTACCAAAAGTTTCTCATCATTCGCCACCTTTATAGTACTAATCGGAGGTGGGATTTTATCATATAGCCAGTCACTGTGCATGGTCATATGCATTGACGCTCCAGAGTCTATGTACCAACCTTTCTCATTGCATGTAGTTGCAGAAAATACAGCAACATAGTTGGTACTTTGTTCGGACTTTTCTTTCGACTTCTTATTTCGACAATATTTACTTATGTGCCCATATTTATTGCACACGAAACATCTAGGACCTTTGCCGGTACTGGTTTTCTCTGAAGCTTGTTTGGCAGACTGCGACCGATTTCCCTTGTTTTTATTAACAAATAAAGCATTTGTTTCAGTGCTTCTCACATCTTGAAGCAGTTTAGTTTTTACAGAATCCGATGTTATTGCCACACCTGAGCTTTCAAGAGCCATAATCATCGGCTGATAGACCTCGGGTAAACCAGCCAGTAGTAAGGTTCCCAACCATTCATCATTCACATTAAACCCAATGTTTCGTAGTTTGTGTGCGGTCGACATTATTTTGCTAACATAGTCTTCGATGCCTTGACATGTTTCTAGCGTTGTGGTAATCAGATCTCTTAATAAGCCAACTCTACGTGTCAGACCTTTGTCATCGAAAGCTTTAGATAGGTTAGTCCACACTTCTTTGGCAGTTTTGGCCTCTTGGATGTGTACATAGTTGATGGGATGTACCAATAAAACAATTTTGGACTTAGCTTTCAAATCTTGTTTGACATCGACGCCATCTTCTGTGACACAATGCCATAAATCTTCGTGTTCAAGAAATGTTTGGACGGCAAATCTCCACGTTGGATAGTTTTCCCTTCCGGTCAGCTTTTCAATCAGTGCCATATTATTTATAGAAGACATTTTGCTGATGAGGAAAATTGTGTGACGTCTCGAAGCACCTCGTGTTGATCTAGGTTATGTTTATACGGAACTACTGCTTTTTTTTTTTTTTTTTTTTTTTTTTTTGTTACGGAATTTACTTTGTATTTTAATTATTACTTGTATTTTCTTTGTATTTAAACCGAAATCAGGTGGCCTGGGCCCATAACCTGTTGAGATTAATTAAAAACGGCAAAAGTAAATTTAACACAGCGTAGTTTTATTTAAGAGATTCCAGAGAGTACAAACCAAAACCATAGACTTACTAGAGAAGTACTTTCATGTTAGTGTTGTATTCATAGATGACCGGTAAAGTAGAATTTTATTATTACAACAATTAATTTCACGGTAAGTAAATGAGTACAACATGAAATAATCTGTGATACTTTATATAAAAGTGTGAAACTGGTTTGTACTAGTTATGTAATTAAAGTTTCTGGTAACTCTGATAGATAAAACGATGTTTATGTAAGGTTTATTGGTATCATCATCAACAGCCTTTAATAGTCCACTGCTGGACATAGACCTCTCCTTATAAAGGAGGTTTTGGCCTACTATACCACGCTGGCCAGACGGGTTGGTATAGGGTTTGTGTCAAGTTTTCCTTCTCTACGCAGTGCTGGTGTTCTGCAATATAATATATTAAGCCATATATACCAATTGTCGATACATCTAGATTTTAATTGCTGATTTACGAAAAGTCTTCCATTACTTATAATCATAATGTATTTTTTATGGTTTAGGTGGCAAACGAGCAGACGGGTCACCTGATGGTAAGTAACTACCACCGCCCATGGACATCTACAACTCAATAGTCACACTTGCCGGTTTTTGAGTCCCCCGTAGACGTGGGGGGAAATGGGGTTATGGGCTCTGGTGACCTCACTCACTCCGTGAAAAGCAATAAAATAACTGTTTAACACCGGTTTTCTGTAAGGTCCACTTATGATATATATCTCTCCCACAGTAGTCAAATGGCTTATTTTTGAAAACTATGATGTTTTCTATTTAGTCAAATTATGAAATAAATTTCCCCGTTTTTGCAACATTGGTACTCGGCTGCTATTGGTCGTAGAATTATTTTATACAACCTATATCCTGCCTTGATAAAGGGGCTATCCAACAGTTAAAGTTTTTTTTTTTCGAACCAGTTGTTCCTAAGATTATCCCGAACATAGAAACTTTACCTCTTTATAATATTAGGATAGAAATAATCTCTTGTTTATTAAAAGAAGTAGTACGCTATCTCTTACATTTACTGTAAGTACATTTTAGGTACATCTTAGACTTAGAGTGTACTAACACACTAAGTAATGTTCTATTTGCAGAATCCTTTTCTGATGTCGACGAGAAACTTAAATTGTCTTAGGTGAATTCTAGGAAAATAACAACTCATTTTTCTAATCCTGAGTGGGGACTAAATTTAATAAAGTCACAATATGTGGCAACGTTGAAAAGTTCTGAGTATTTGTACTGGAACGCAATGTGTAAGCGTGCTTTTTAAGATTACCTACATAATTTGTTTAAAAGAAATTCAAGCCATCTACATAATGTACTAGTTTAATCATAAATAATGTTGTTCACTTATCGTGACATATGAAGTAACCTCCAATTAGGTATTACTTTATTTTATGACTTAAAACATAATGAATAGTGACATTCTTAGATATGTTGTGACATATATACGAGAAGAGATGCAACTATTCTCAAAACCCATGTCTTGTAAAAAAACATAACTGTATGAAACCATTGACAGATTAAGAATACGGAATGTCACCACCCCTATTCATCCCGTGGGTGTCGTAAGAGCCGACTAAGGGAGCAAACTACGCAGAACAACAGTCTGGCCAACGTGGTATAGTAGGCCAAAACCTTTTTTTTAAGGAGAGGCCTATGTACAGCAGTGGACTATTAAAGTCTGTTGATGAAGCCATGTTGATGATGATGTGATGAAGCCATTTGAAATATTTATATTTTTCATGTAAGGCCTATGCTTCAGCACTAGTACCACTAGAGCCAGGCTCGTCTGGAGTAGTACCACGGCATCACAAGAAACCGCTATTAAGTAGTTCTTTTGCTACTTTTCACTGAGTGAGTGAAGTTACCGGTAACCCCTTAAGTCTGGTAACTCCTTAAGTCCGGTAACTCTTGATTCTAGGGGGACTGAATGATAGAATGGTGACGCACTTACGACTCTTGAGATGCAGTTGTTCATTAGACTTCAACAGTCACTTAGCATCAAGTGAACCCGTTGCTTGTTTTCCCCCCTTTTTTTCGTGCAGAAATCCCCTTGGATACCACCCACCAGTAGACTCGAACATGTCGGACTCGAATCGTCCAAAAACTGAAATCAGAATCGGGTAGCTAGTAGCCGGGGAACCAGGTCCCCCTATACTGTAAAAACCTGAGTTAATATGAAGTGCTTATTTTTATTATAAAAATTCCTCCTTCCCGCTCGAGTCAGCGAGATTTGGGCTCCGGTAACCTCACTCACTTAGTGAAAGGCAACGAAAGCATTGCTTAACACCGGTTTTCTGTGTGATGTTGATACCAAGAATGTGTAGAATTAAGTGTACTCGTAAGAAAGTCTTGTATATAAAGTTAAATATTTCTCTAAATTACGAAACTGTGTGTAAAATTCATGCAAGAACTTTATTATGATATCTCAACACTCGGCTCTGGTATTTGCCTTAATTCAGACTTGCCGCTAAACATTTTTACTGTAATAGGGAGGCTGTAAGTCTGGATCTACAATAGACACGGAAAAACACCACGCAATTACGGCGCTTCACAGCGAAGGCTAAATTGTCTTGGGAACCGCAACGAACTTAATCAAAAGAAAATAGGACTAGAAATGAAAGTACATTCCGCTATCCTTCTTAGCCAGCCCAGAGAAAGGACTATACTGCTAAGAATGTGTTGGGTGAGGCGATTTAGTATTCTGCGGTGCTTCTATTTAGATTATAAAATTAATTAAAAATATTTTGTTGTCGTAATTGTCTTCTTTTGTCGTCAACCATAGGTCATAGGTACTTGTAATTTGTCCTTTATTTTCATTCAAGGATGCTTTTAAGCGATGTAAGTATAAAACAATGTGGTATATTGTTGTCTTAACGAGTTTTGGCGTAAAATAAACATGAATTTATGAATGTAAAGCTCGAAATAGGAACAATTTAAAATCTCAGTAAAGATCTAGATCGTTTTAAAGTTTAAACACCTATACGTGCTTACTCCTACTATTAAATAGTTAACTAGTGTAACTTCTAGGTTATCAAATAGTGTTGTTATCTCTTTAAACTCCGTTTACTTTTAACTAAAAGTCATTGCGTTTTAGGAACTCATTTGATGAAAACCAACGAAAAAAATTCTTGGCAACGGCTTCCTGTATGGCTGTAGCATCACCACGGAGTACCACTCTGGTTGAGCCGGCTCATAATTATGTGCCCAAGTGACTCTCGACCGTTAGATTAATTTAAAGCTTTAGCTTAGTAGTAAATTTAAGGTTAAGAACAGTTTTGAATGACACTGTAATTTCAATCATTTTCCATTGATTTTGTGTCTTTAAATGACATGTGATATGTTAAGAGTTCAGACTATTCAAATAAAACTATGTACCCGTGTGGTGACGGATTAAGAATGTGGAGTGTCATCTCATCACCCCTATTTATCCCGTGGGTGTTATTAGTGCCGACTAAGGGAGAACTACGCAGGGAAATAGCACTACAAAGAGTAGAAAAACTTGACACAAACCCTGTACCAACCCATCTGGCCACCGTGGTATAGTAGGCTAAAGAAGAGGCCTATGTACAGCAATAGACTATTAAAGGCTGTTGATGTGATGTGAAATAAAATTTGAATTTTCTTGTTAACCCTCATACCAATGTACCTGTGGCATCGTACACGTCGATCTCGCGTTTATGTCAAAAGGTACCGCGACCTAGTTTACTTTAACAGCTGAAACACATTGCAAAATCAAATTCTAACGATAACGAAGAAATTGCCTAGCGTAATGGATATTTTGGTACGCCCTACGAAAAAACTTTAGAGTGATGAAAAGGCTTTTGTCGAAAATTGTGTAATTTATCCGTTTATCGTAAGGGCTTTAAAGCTATACTGGAACACATGTAATAATTTGCCAAAAACCATTGGATTAATACATTTTTGACTGATCTTTTAGACATTAGCGATTCTGACTATTG